AGACAATATATGAGGCCAGCTTTCTCAAGGGGATTTTATTGGTTCTATAAGTCAACCCTGATTCCTTAAAACAATCTGTTTGTATCTGAAAGTATGCCACTCCAATCAAAGCCTCAGTAAACTAACCAGTGTCTTCAATTGTGTCATGTTACAAAAGAAAACAGAGTCTTATCAAATTTTTGCAAATAACTATACTACCATCAACTATGTATAATTGCAAATAGTTTTCAAATTCTGGAGAAATCAGGTAGAGAGAAATATGCTTCAGATTTTCTCACAAGAGCATAGTTTACCCAGTTGTTAAAAAGCAGTAAAATAGCTCAAAGAGAAACAAAAGTTAGAAAAATAAACAAAGTTAGAAATTCAGAAACACAAGTTTCTGAGTTTCAAACAATGTTTCAAAGTCACAAAAAGATTATTTGTTTTCCATTGTCTAGGCTATGTAATTAACTCCTGTTCTCAATGTTTATGAACACATTAGCTCTCTATGGGAGTCTTGGAAGTTTTTCCTCTATTATAGCATCACAATCTCCACAGTTATCCAAAACCTGCATTCAAGAGCACCTGTCAGAGTCCTATATCTGATTGTGAAAGCACCTTTTGAGAATGATAAAAGTAAAACAACCATGAATGACAAGAGTTCTAAAATTGTCATAATTAAAGACACAATTGACAAGGAAATTTGGTTACTTCTGTGGCATACAGCAATTTTACATAATCATAATTACTACTGATAACATATACCAGGGATTCCCAGTCCCCAGGCTTGCAGACTGGTACTGGTCCATGGCCTCTTAGGAACCAGGCTGCACAGGAGGAGGTGAGTGGTGGGCAAGCGAGCAATACTGCCTGAGCTCTGCCTCCTGTCAGATAGGTGGCGGCATTAGATTCTCATAGGAGCATGAACTCTATTGTAAACGGCACATGTGAGGGATCTAGGCTGTGTGTTCCTTATGAGAATCTAATGCCTGATGATCTGAGGTAGAACAGTTTAATCCTGAAACCATACCTTCCTTCCCCTATCCGTGGAAAAATTGTCTTCCACGAAACCAGTCCCAAGTGCTAATAAGGTTGGGGACTGCTGACATGTACCAAAACATGTCAATTTCACAGGAATTTCATACAATTTTGAAACATGTACTAGTAACACGTTTATATAAATATAATCCAAAAAAGGTTAAATGCTGTTTCATACTTGACAATACTTCTTATATGATTTTATTATATCAAATAACCTGAATATGTCTCTTTTGGACTTCAGGGGACCTAATATCAAAAGATTAATGAGGACCAAAGTTAGAATGTTATTTTGGAAAGTTTGTCAACTATAAAGTGTTAAAAACACTTAATATCACAAAATAGAATCAAAGGTCATTGTAAAATAAGTTATTTATTTAGCCAAATGATAACTCAAAGATTTCCCCAAAAAAGACAAAACCCTTTATTTTTTCAGAGAGGAGACTTAATTTCCCAAACAAGAAGCCTTAATAAAGATGGTGTAAATCCCATTAAATCCTCTTTTAAAATTTTATAAACAAATTTATTAAGATTTGGTCATCTTGACCATAAGATACAATTTCAGTAAACTTTTTTTATAACCTTTATATTTTTTAAATTAAGAAGTGGGTTAATGCTTCTTAATTTCCAAGAGAACCTTGTTACTGTGACTTTGGGGCCCAGATGCTGGTCTTGCATCAGTGTGCCATCAATGTTAATGATTAATTTATAGAGAAACTGAACTAATTTGTCTCTCAAAATTGGCCATTAGAATCTCATGCACCCACCTCTTCCATGATAGTCCCTGGGCCTTGAGCAATTGAATAGTTTTAATTTCTGGCCCTGTGTCTCATGAACAGCTTATTTTTATTGGCATCTTCTACTGGGTCTGAAGATAAGGCTTTAACTGCTGTCATTGTTTAAGATTTAGCAGGACTTGGTGTTCTTTTTAATACTCAGGAGTCAAAGCCCTGTAACTTAAAGGCACAAGGACTTTAAAAGCAACAAAGTTACATGGATGTAATAACCTTGATTAAAAAAAAAAAAAAACAGTTTAACCTCAGTTTTTTTCTAAGCAAATCAAAACTTAATAACAATGGCATAGGAGTTATTTTGATAAAATGTAAAATTTGTTTGTTAAACCAGTTGCCAAAAAAGCAAAAAAAAAAAAAAAAAAAAAAAAAATCTTCTTGCAGTACAATTGCTGTTCCCTATGGAGAGTCCATTTAGGTAACCTGCAAATCAAAACTAATGGAAAGGATACTTTAATTATTTAGACATAGGGAGAGTGTTTCCTGGGTAATTAGTGAAAATTTTTGGATTTATAGAATTCAAAGCCAAGAGCACAGAATGTTATGTTGGAAGAAAACATTTTCTTTAGACCTTTAAGATAAAACATTTTTAGCATCAGGCCATGGCAAACAGAACCTGAGGAAAAAAATTACAGAAGCTAAAAATGAGTTGAAGGAGACAGTTATTATCTCAGGCCTTTTCAAAGTGGAGACAAAGCTGAAAACAGCAAGATAATAAAAGTTAAAAATTGGGTTAAAAAAATTAAAATCCCTTGTAAAACAATACCTTAAGAAAATTTTGTTGTTCTAAACAATTCTTTAGTGTACAGGTGTTTTTTTTTTTTAAATATCAAAACCTAATCTCTAAAAAGACTATTATAAATAATTTTCCTTTAATTAAAGACAACTTGATACAAATCATTAATGAGATGCCTGGACTTCCTGTTTTATCCTAGACATCTCTCTTTCTTAAATAACCAGTTATTTTAGGACAGAAATTTACCATACAAGATTCTTTCTCATATAAAATTATTTTCCCTTTAACCTTTCTTGCCAAAAATACCTTTATATTTATAAAGAGGTGAATATATAGTATGTAAAGAAAGCGATATTTCTTTACATTGCTCTTATTTACTGGTTACTTTCACCTTGTTTCACAAATAACTTTTAAATAACCTTTGAATTAGACAAACATTATTTTCTTTTAAATAACAAAACATTTATTAGAAAAATATTTTCCTATTTTTTTAAAAAATTGGAAATGATCCAGACCTTTAATGAGTATTTATTATTTAACTTATTATAACTTTAGATTTTAAATTATATGACGTTTATTTACAGGCATTTATTCCATTACATTTCCCTAATTAATTAATTTTTAAATGGTTTACCCAGATGAAAGCTGTGAAAGTCATTATTTAGTTATTTATGTTAACTATGTTTATGGCCTGTAAATATAGGTTTTTCTAAGAACTTGAAGTATAAAGATTTCTGATATAGAATGATATATTACTATTGTTAATGGCTGATGAGATTCTGTTGTATGAATGCATGTACTATAATTTAACTACTTTGTTTTTAAATATTTAGTTGTTTCTGATTTTTAGCTATTAAAAAATATTGATAGTATACAAATGTGTTAATGAGCATTCCTATTTATATCTGTACACAATTGAGTTTAAAAACTTCTTAAATGAAGCAAATTAAAGGTAGATCTATTTTTTCTCAATAATTATTCTAAAGAAATCCCTTCTAGCCTATGAATTTTTAATGTACACAAGATAGCATCACCCTAGTGTTACACTATAGTGTAAAATCAATATGCTGTCATTGGAAATGAAAATTTGATTCATCAGAAATGATTTTTAATTCTTACCTGATTTTTCAGGCAGTACCTGTAACCAAAAAAACAAGCAAAACTAAGAGGAACCAAAGTGTGGACTGTGGGTTTCTTATCCAATGTAATAGCTTATTTAATTTTGGAATATTCATAACATCATTACTTTGCGACAGTGGGAGTTCTAGAGTTTTATACTCGGGCCTAAGAAAATATTTTTTTGAGTTTTCTTTTTGAATTGGCCTTAAAATTTATTCCTTAAATCAATGTGATTGCTATGCTAACTCTCACATCTGGCTTCATTTGGCCTTTCCCATCTCTTTCCTGCATAAGTTCTTTTAACATATGTTTCTAGTTGGATGATGATGAGCATAGGTTGTCTCTTGGTACTTGTGGGCAGTGTACTGTGTGACCTAAGTTGAGCAGCTGTAAATGACCTATGGACTATGACCATTCTTGGTTTAAGTCTTACTAATGTTACCTTTGGAAAATACTTACTTAGAAGAACTATAATACCAGCATTGTTAATATTGTAATTTGAACAAGAGTCCTTGCCATTACCTTATTCTTTTGAGAATTGTAACATTGGAAGGCAGGAAATTCTTGGAAATGACTGTTTACAGGGATCCCTGAGTAGCTTCTCCAACATAAAAAAGATACTGAGTCATGTTAGTTCAATGAAAAAAAAAGATCTTAAGAGGAAATACACACCCTATTAAATCCATAAATATAGAAGAACAATGAATGCTAGCCATAAAATGCTAATAAGTAACATGTAACTTTGACTAAAAGTAGGTCAAATGCCTTTCAGGATATGTATGTAGTATTGAATTGATATAGGAGGACCATAAATGTCCACTATCAGGATATGTGTACAAAGTCATTGTTTATTTATATCTATGTGTGTATGCATGTATGTGTCTTATTTGCTTCATTGTAACTTTTACCCATAGTCCATCTTACTTGTTATGGTCATTATTTCTACTACATCCTTAATATTAATTGATACTTCAGGTGGAGGTTAAGTATTTACTTCTCTGATCTGGTTATTGGAATAAATGCTACAAGCAAGGGTAGAGAATGTGTGAAGAGATTTGGAATTGGAAGGCCTGTGTTTGAATGCTCACCCTGCCACTTCCTAGTTCTGTGACTTTGGACAAGGCAGTGATCTGTTTCCTCATCTGTAAAATGGGGGCTGTTAATCTCAACTTAATTGAAGGATTGTTGTGAGGATAGAATGAACTATCTTAAATGGCTCTACTTTATAAAAACCGTTAAGCCCAGTATAGAGTTTTTATGCTGCTATTCTCCAAGCCAAGTAGGAAAAATATTGTAATAGTATAATAGCAATCCCCTTTCTGTCTTTTTCCTTCCAGTTTTCATGCAGTGATAAGGAAAGGAGCAGCAGCTACATTAATATCCCAGAGAGAGGAAATGGACCAGAAGGCAACTTAAACCAGATTGTTACTGAACCCAATACAAACATTCCCCAGTTCTTGCACGAGGGGTATGTACTATGCCAAGGTCTTTATTCCCACATCAACCAGATCTTGAAGGAGGCTCACTTCAACAGCCTGCAGCAGCGAGGACAAGCTCCAGCATGATGAACTAGGACTTCCTTATTCCAACCTAACCTGTGTTTATAAAAGCAATTGCATACACACCAAAAAAAGTCTATTGGTTTTTAAGTCTGTATTTTAAATAACAAGTTAATGGGCAATTGTTTAATTGGAGTTTCACTGAACTATTGCAATTTTAAACGGGCCATGAAGAAATTTTTATGGGATTGTTTTCAAGTTGGGTATCAAATTAATGTTAAGGTAGCAATATGAGAAAACTTATCCTGTGCATTGAAGCCATAGTATGTCCAATTCAGATTGATTTCCAGATCTGTCAGTTAGAAACTCTATGTTAAACATCTTTTTAAAGTACAAGTAAGTCATCTTAAAAAATGCAATGACAATAGCCTAGTAAAGTATATGTAGCTTTCATTTAAAAAACAAACAAAAAATCCACACTCAAAAACCATAAGTTAGTATTCCCAAATATGCAAAGCCAGATTCAGTCTTGCACTGAAATGAACTGCCATACTGTCCCTCAGAAGGTAGATGTTCTATTGAAATTGCTCTCTAGTTGTAATGGCAACAATTAGACCCAGTTTAGACTGTGAACATGAAAACCTCTCTCTAATAACTCTCTCTACTCTTTGTATTTCCAGGGAGAATGTTTCTAAGGCTCTTGAATACTCAGATACCTTCTGTATCATTTATCCTCTAGACTGTGCACTTCAGACCTAGTAGGAAATACTGTACAATTCTGTCAGACAAGAAATATGTAATAACATTTTGTCTTACACAAAAATTTATTACATTAGCACATGTGATCTCATAATTCCATCTATTATGTCTAGAGTTAATGCTAATACAGTGTAAGCTACTAAACTGATGTGTAAAGTAGCAAGAATTGTGGAAGTGGGTTGGACAACTGTATACTTCATGCTTCAAGGACCCTTTCACAGAGATTAGGGAGCTAGCTTACATTATTAAAATTGCAAAGATTTCCATGGCTTAGAAACAATGAGCTGATATGCCATTAGAAGAAACAGGCAGTACTATTTATTTAGAGATAGTGTGTCCCCATGTTTTAGTCATACTAAAGAGCCAACCAAATTTGAATAGGGAATTCATAGATGTGCTTCCTCAGTGGTGAGCTGTGTGAACGAGGAACCAGGATGCATCAGGTTATCTGCCCTGGAGTATGCAATGGGGTACAACCTGTTGCTGGATTTAAACAAAAATGCTTTTCAGTCTAACAGTCCTCTCTTCCCTGGTCACATTCTCTCTTCCACTGTATTTGGAGGTCCACAGAGTGGAAGCTAGCAGATCTGAGAACTATGGATAGCTCTACAAAGAGGTGTTTGCCAATTGGCAAAGTTTGGGAAAGACGTAAGGTTACAGGTTTACTGAAAGGAGAATGAGATTTTATTAAATGACAGAATTAACATGAAAATGAACACTGTCCTAGGAAAAGAACAGACACACACACACACACACACACACACACACATAGAGGCACACACATTTTCATGTTTGTTTTCTTGAATATGGGTAGGATTTTAAGGAAGATACTTGTAGTGGAATTTTAGTGTTATGGGAAAAAATTATGGCACCACACTGGCCCCGAACTTAGGGAGTAGGCATGAGTCAGTTATTTCTCAATTAGATGGTTTGAGTAAGAACCTTTTTTCTATGGCAATTGCTTCCAAAGTCAATATCAGGTGTGTGATGAGAAGAAATTTGAATTCCAAAAGGCTTTATGTCAGAAAATAGAGAAAGGATACCTGGCGACCGGTTTCTCTAACAATAAAGTGAGCAACTAAATACTAAAGGAGATGAGATGTTTGAACTCTCAACCCACACGTACACAACAGGATTCAGAAATACCCAAGAAGAATTTTGCAGGCTTAAATACACAGCATCCTACTGAAAGAAAGTATCTATTAAAAACACAGTATAGTGGAAAAGCTGAGAAAGCAAATTTCCATTCATTCCCCCACCTATTTAAAGATATGAAAGATAAAACTATCACCATGGCAAAGCATTATTTTTTCAAAGTAAAAAAATATACATAATAAAGCAATTACATATACACAGAAAAAGTCTGTTGGCTTTTCAGTCTATATAAGACTTTTCAGTAGTTAGTTGAACTAAGTACATACAATCTTATTCCAAAGTGGGCAGTGTAAATCTCTTGTCCTAGTAAATACAATATGCAATCTCTGTCCTGTCATCTGCAGATGGTCTAAACCTGTTTATGTCTTAAACTGGTTTATGTCCTTTGGTCCTGAAGTGAAGTTCAATATTTCACAGCAGGGAAGGAACCAAGCTGTTTGATTATCTTTGCTATGAAGGAGAAGTATTTTCAAGGAATATCAGAAGAAAGTAGAACTACTCTGGATTTTTTTTCCCAAAATTAGGAGTTTGAAAAAAGGGAGCCAGATTAGTTTAAGAGGTGAAATTGGACCCTGTTATATTTTTTTAAATGAGAGTATAAAGCAAGGGCAGAATGCCGCACCAATACTGAGGTGGGGTGGTGGTTGGGGAAAGGAACTGCCCTTAAATTCAAACCCACCCTTGTGTCACACTCTGTGTGAGTTATTCATTAACTCCTGAGGTAGGAGTGGGCTCTCCACTTCATAGGGGAGGAGAGGTAGGCTGACAGTAAGTTATCCCTATGACTACATGCAATCCAGAGAAAACTGAGAGTGGTTAATGATTTGTTAAAAGGAACACAGTGGCCAAGCAGCAGTGCCAGGGCGTCTCTGCTTTTATAGTGAAGACCAGGGCTGCCAGGCCACCTTTTTTTCTAGGGAACAATTCCCTATTTATATAACCAAAGAAACAGTAGAATGAAACAAAGTTTAAGCTCTTCATCAGAGTTTACATGTTGAATGATTTTCTAAATGCATTCCTTTTTATATAGCAGCATTTTCCTCATTTTCAAATGAATACTCTGTAATATTGTCACTTAAGTCCCTACAGAGTGAGTCAGATCTTAAAGCTGACACTGATACCAGACTCTGTCTCCTCCTGGATTTCTTGTTCCTTCTGGCTGGAGGCTGTAGTCAAAGCATAACCTATATCATCTGAATGGAACAACTAGTTGAGTACATGAACTGAGGCTGGGAAAAACAGGCAAAGATTCTGACCAGGAAGCCATTCAGATCTATTTTATATTTTGTTTAAACTAAGACAGTTATCTTGAGACCAACTGTACAAAGATGGTGTACCTATCTAAATCACATGTGGGATTCTACACTGGTGCACATTTGACTGATTGGTAATTTCCATGCATCTTCTGGCCACAATATTGTTATAATAAGTGGCAATTTTCTGGGTACCAACAAAAGTACAAATTCAGTTGCCAATTATTAAGATATTGATGGAGACTATAGGGAAAATGATATTTAGGTTGAAGCACAGAAAATACATAGTCTTCTCCAGGGAGAAAGTCATTCATTCATTCTCATCTAATGAAAGGGAAAAAATTCCAACTTTTTGGTCTATAAAATCTAATTAAAATGAATAGAAAAGATTTTATATCTGTGCTATTTCTTAGGGACCAAGTGAAAGTAATTGTATGGAATTAGAGTTGCTCTTCCCTTACTACTAAAAGACTTTTTTGAAGTAGGCAAGAGTGTAACATAATAAAATAAAACAAATTGATGATTAACTGATCAACATGGAAAGTATAAATTTACACATCACTCACTTTGACAATCCCCAGACTCCAGATTTGGTATTCCATTAGACTAAGGAGTAGGTCTTTAACTTCCTGTCACTTGGATTAAGTAGGATCAATTTCTTCCATGTTTCATTGGCCCTGGTTCCTTTTTCATATCTTCTGTGGTTTCTCTGAGCTCCTTGAGGTGCCCCAAATGCATTTCTTTAGATGGTGTATTAGTCCGTTCTCACCCTGCTGTAAAGAAATACCCAAGACTGGGTAATTTATAAAGGAAAGAGGTTTAATTGACTCACAGCTCTGCATGGCCAGGGAGGCCTCAGGAAACATACAGTCATGGAAGAAGGGAAATGGCAGAAAGGGACTGGCAGAAGGGGAAGCAGGCACCTCCTCCACAAAGCAGCAGGAGAGAATGTGAGCATGTGGAGGAGGAAATGTCAAACGCTCATAAAACTATCAGATCTCATGAGAACTCACCATCAGGAGAACAGCATGAGGGAAAGTGCCCCCATGATCCAGTCGCCTCCCACCAGATCCCTCTCTAGACACATGGGGATTACAGGGATTACAATTCAATGGGAGATTTGGGTAGGGACACAGCCAAACCATATCATTCTGCCCCTGACCCCTCCCAAATTTCATTCTCATGTCCTCACTTTTCTTTTTTTTTAATTTTTTTTTTTTTTTTTTTTTTTTGAGACAGAGTCTCACTTCGTCGCCCAGGCTAGAGTGCAGTGGCACAATCTCAGCTCACTGCAACCTCTGCCTCCCGGGTTCAAGTGATTCTCCTGCTTCAGCTTCTCAAGTAGCTGAGACTACAGGTACCTGCCATCACACCTGGCTCATTTTTGTATTTTTAGTAGATATGGGATTTCACCACATTGGCCAGGCTGATCTCAACCTCCTGATCTCAAGTGATCACCCACCTCAGCCTCCCAAAGTGCTGGGATTACAGACGTGAGCCGCTGCGTCTGTCCTCACATTTCAAAACACAATCATTCCTTCCCAGGAGTCCCCCAAAGTGTTACTTCAGCATTAACCCAAAAGTCCAAGTCCAAAGTCTTATCTGAAACAAGGCAAGTACCTTCCACCTAGGAGCCTGTAAAATTAAAAGCAAGTTAGTTGTTTCCAAGATACAATGGGGGGCACAATAATTGGATAAATGCTTCCATTCCAAATGGGAGAAATTGGCCAAAACAAAGGGGCTACAGGCCCCATGCAAGTCCAAAATCCAGCAGGGTAGTCATTAAATCTTAAAGCTCAAAAATAATCTCCCTTGACTCCATGTTTCACATCCAGGGCACACTGATGCTAAGGATGGGCTCCCATGACCTTGGGCAGATCCACCCCTGTGGTTTTGCAGGATACAGTCCTCTGCTCTGGCTGCTTTCACAGCTAGCATTGAGTGTCTGTGGCTTTACCAGTGTACTATGCAAGGTGTCAGTACATCTACCATTGTGGGGTCTGGAGGACAGTGGCCCTCTTCTCATAGTTCCACTAGGCAGTTTCCTATTGGGGACTCTGTGTGGGGGCTCCAGCCCCTCATTTCCCCTGCACACTGCCCTAGCAGAGGTCCTCCATGAGGGCTTCACCCCTGCAGCAAACTTCTCCCTGGGCATCCAGGCATTTCCATACTTCCTCTGAAATCTAGGCAGAGGTTCCCAAACTTCAATTCTTGACTTCTGTGCACCTGCAGGTCCAACACCATATGGAAGCCACCAAGGCTTGGGGCTTGCACCCTCTGAAGCAACAGCCTGAGCTGTACCTTGCCCCTTTTAGCCACAACTGGAGCTGGAGTAGCTGGGACACAGGGCATCAAGTCCTGAGGCTGCACAGAGCAGGGAAACCCTGGGACTGGCCCATGAAACCATTTTTCCTTTCTAGGCCTTCAGGCCTGTGATGGGAGGGGCTGCTGCCAAGATCTCTGAAATACCCTGGAGACATTCTCCCCCTTGTCTTGGCAATTCACATTTGGCTCCTAATTACTTATGCAAATTTCTTCAACTGGCTTGAATTTCTCCCCAGAAAATTGGTTTTTATTTTCTATCATATCATAGGCTACAAATTTTTCAAATTTTAGGCTCTGTTTTCCTTTTAAACATAAGTTCCAATTTCATATCAACTCTCTCAAGTTCAAAGTTCTACAGATCTCTAGGGCAGGAGCAACAAACCACCAGTCTCTTTGCTAAAGCATAGCAAGACTGACCTTTGCTCCAGTTTCCAATGAGTTCCTCATTCTCCATCTGAGACTACCTCAGCCTGGACTTCATGGTCCATATCATTATCAGCATTTTGGCTAAAACAATTCAACAAGTCTCTAGAAAGTTCCAAACTTTCCCACATCTTTCTGTCTTCTCCCTGAGCCCTCCAAACTGTTCCAGCCTCTGCCTATTACCCAGTTCCAAAGTTGCTTCCACATTTTTAGCTATCTTGAGAGCAGTGCCTGGCCCACTCTCCACAGGACCAATTTCCTGTATTAGTCCATTCTCACACTGATATAAAGAAGTACCTGAGACTGGGTAATTTATACAGGAAAGAAGTTTAATTGACTCACAGCTCCATGTGGCTGTGTAGGCCTCAGGGAAGTTACAACCGTGACAAAAGGGGACACAGGCACCTTCTTCACAAGGCAACAGGAGAGCATGAGTGTGTGAAGGAGAAAATGCCGAACACTTATAAAACAATCAGATCTCGTGAGAACCCACTCATTGTTATGAGAACAGCATGGGGGAACCACCCCCATGATCAAATCACCTCCCACTGGGTCCCTCCCTCAACACATGGGGATTATGAGGATTACAATTCAAGATGAGATTTGTGTGGGGGCACAGCCAAACCATATCAGATGAGAACACTGTTTCCCCAGTGACTGGCAGCATCTGACCATGGAAAGAACTACAGGCACTTCAAAATGGTTATGGACATCCTGTCATCCTTGCATAATCTCTTCAATGCGCTGCATCTCCGTCCATGTGCAGTACAAGATGTGCTTGATGAATGCTAGGGAGTGATTCTGGAGCAGCATTTCCTGCACAGTCCTAGTGTCTATAGATCTGTCAATGGCAGAGTTTTTTTTTTTTTTTTTCAATTTTTTTTTATTGCATTTTAGGTTTTGGGGTACATGCGAAGAACATGCAAGATTGTTGCATAGGTACACACATGGCAGAGTTTTTAACCTGCATAGTGAGGGCCTCCTTGTGTTGGGAGGAGTCATTAGAGGGAAGGCAAGCCAGCAAGTTATCCAGTTTAACCTTCAACTTAAAATCTAGGGTTGAAGGGAAGCTCTGCTCACAAGGACTAACAGCTGAGCATTAGTGGAGAATCCACTATTGGCAAGTAGACCCTGCCTTGTCATATTGACCCAGGTAGCATTAGAAGGCAGGCCTTGAGAATTCTCAAACTGGAGAAAGAAAGATATGCTTGATCTGCTTATTTAGGTCTGTTTATTGAAGTAGAATTGCTGGCTCTGGTGCCAAGAACCTGCAAAGATAAAACCAGGAGCTCTTTGAACAGAGCTACTGGAGAACGAGTCTTGGCGTCCTTTTATCAGAGCCTGAAAGAGTATTAGAGAAAAATTCTCAGATAAGTCTTTCAATGAGGTCTCAGGTCAGTCTTTTTCCTAGCAGCCAGAATTCCCCCATTCCACACTGAGAAGGATAGAATGGTTTTGGTAGAGAAAAAAGAGACCAATAGTAATGGATGTGGGCTTATTCCCAAACAACTAAGTTAGCCCTTTTCTAAGACTGATTTTGCCAGAACACAACTCTTGGAGTAAACAGATTCGCTGAGGACAAATGACTCCTCAAGAACAGAGCTGCACTGAGCCTTAGAACCCCAGGAAGCCGCATTCACATTGCATTCTATGTGAACGGTACCCTCTGGAGTTGTGTAACAGAGACTCTTTTAAGATCCCTGGCACTTCTCTTATCTAACACAATGACAACTTCATCAATACTCAGCTTTTGAGAGAGGGACATATTGTTATAGGTAAGGGTATTGAGGAAACAGACATCATAAAGTGGCATCCTAGTTTAAGGGCAAAGGAACTCTGGAGTTAGATTATGCTACCCCATCTCTCTCACAAAATGATTATATGGCTTTGTCATCCCATTCTATGTTTTCTTCTTGCCATTTCCTGTTCCTTTTCAGTCAATATAACCAAATCCTCCATCTGACCTTTGAATTGTGGAGTTCTCCAGGACACAGTCCTTGATCCTCTTTTCTTCTCATCAGGGATGTCATTCAGTTTCATGGCCTCAAGTAATAGTCCTATGCTGAGAGAACCCAAATGTGTATTGCCAGGCCTGAGCTCTCACTTCTCTCTTTGAGACCCATACAATCCCCTAGACTGTTCCTCCTCTCTATTTGAGAGTCTCAGCCCCCTCAAACTTGACATTTTCATATGTAATCTTACCATCTTATCCTTCTGACTATACAGTTGCCTCATGAACTCTGACACCTCCTTTCCCACACCCTCCACAGGCATTACTAAATCCTCGCCTCAGAACTAAACCTACAATTGGTTCAGTTAGCTTCATCTTCACTGCTAACACTAATCCAATCCATGATCACCTCTCACGTGGATTAAGGTAAGAGCTTTGCTGTGACCGCCCAACATCTACTGCAGCCCCACTGTGATCCACTATCACATGGATGCAAAATTAAATTTTGACTTTTACATTAAAATTTAAGTTAAAATTGTAATTTTGATTATGTTACTCTCCTCCGTTTGGAGAACAACTGTGAAAATATTTGTTTAATTGTGATAAATCCTGCTAAATACAAAATAAGATATTCTGGGGATATATAGTGAGGGATCTCTAAGGGCCTGTATGGCTAGGGAAGGCTACCCATTGCTTTTAGGGCAGTGTGCAAGACCCTTACTCTGGCCCACAAAGCTTTGCTTGATCTAGCCAGGCACAATCTCTATTTCTGCAGGCTCATCTCATTCCACTTCTTCTCTCTATGCACAGCTCTCAACCTCACTGACT